ATGTGCAAGTTTAATATTTCAAAAATAGTAATGCTGTATCAGTGGTCACTTACGTCTAGATTGGAGAAGCATTCAGGCCACTCAAACTTCACAGTCGAAGGGTGATCATCAGCTGCCCAGCTCATTATCCGAGGGTAAGCTTTGGATATCCTTCTCGCGTGTATCTATCGAGACTGGGAATTGTCTCATAAATCCACACTTGAAAGGCTACGAGCAAACCTTTGAGTCTGTAATGTGTTGATCTCTTACTCAATCCCTCCCTCTATGAACTTACTAGCATGTCAAATAGCGACTTACTCCATGGAAACACATTCATTGCTTTAAAATCTTCAACTAGTACAAACAAGAAGTGATCCATAGCCTTCTTGTAGTCTCTCGAATGTAGATAAGACGTTATGAAATACAATACACCTAGCATAGAAACATCCTCATCCAGAATGTCAGTTGCATCAAGAAATGCTTCTTTGATGTCTTCATGAGTAACATTTTTCAATGTTGGAAAAAACAAATTTTTCAATCATGATGGAGTCTTCTCTATCCTACTTGTGTCAGCAGCGCCAACGTATCTCAAACCAGTCACCAAACAAAACTCTGAAATTGAAAACCTTACAAATCTTTCAGTTATGTTGAACACAGCTCACTGTCATTAGGTTGTTGTACCTGCCTCAGTAAAAAGTAGTGTATCAGCTAAGATTGGATAACAATTTCCTCGCATTCCAAGAAGTGGGAGAAACACGTATTCTGAAGGATTTGACGTTGGGCTTCATTAAGATTGTTTTTGAAATTTGACAGCAAACCTTTTCACGGGGGTAATTGTAATTTTACCTAGAAACCAACTCTTATCGGGTATAATGTATTTCCAGGCCTGTAACATCGGTCACAATAAAACTTATCAGTTGGTCACAGATGGGAATCCAGGTAGACACAACATCAACATATAGTGTCAAGTCCACTCCAACGGATCAGATATCAAAAACACACATACAAAACAACACAATATCGATCCATAATTCACAAATGAACAACCAATTTTGAAGAAAAAATTAAAAACCTTTTCTAGATTCCGGCATTTCGTTACAAATACACACAACAAATTCAATGCAATATACCTCGCAAATTCAAAATACTTCATTCATACACATTACCAATCGATTAAAATGTACATAGGTATGCTCGAAATAAGTGAACAATTAAAAAATTGAAAACACACCTTCTTTGAGGGCGGTTTTGTGACCGATCATTCGGATTTGTGTCTTTTAGAGGAGGAATCCTTCTGTACTTCATCCACCTTCCTTTTAACTCTTCTTCCTGACTCGTGGATTCCAATTTTCTCCCCTCGTTTCTCACTCCTTGAACGAGTCATTTTTGAAATTTTAGAAGGTTGCGGTTTCAACGGTGATCACCTGTTTTTGGGAAGGAACGTATAAAATATATATAAACACGATAGTGGATGAAAGTCGTCGGGGAATTGCCGGAGAACGAACAGGGGTAAATGATAGAATATGGCTTGGATGAACGATGTTTGTAATCTTAAAATATGGATACGTGATGGACGTGAGTTTTATGGAAAGGACGTGTATGGAGATTTTAATGAATATAGAGTTTCCAAAATTTAAAATACGTGAATTTAGGGGAAATAGTTATTAAATAATTTTAAAATAAGTAATAAACGAAAAAAAATCTGATTACTGAAATATTAAACTTCCACTCTGATTTGGGAACTATAAATAGTTAAACTATGGTTTTATGTAATTTCCACTATTTTAAAAGTTTGGAATAAGTAATTTTGTTTATTATATATATTAGAAAATAAAAACTGAATTAAAACTATATTTTATTTTAAAGTTATCCAAACATGTCCTTGGGTGAAAATTTAAGGTTGTACTTGAACAAATTGTACGTGCACGGCTCTAATAATTCCATTAAATTTCTTTAATTAAAAGAAAGGCGAGAAAAATGAGAAGAATATTTTTTATGGAACGACTACATTAAAGACACTCATGATGTAGAACTCTGTGTGTGTGTGTAATGGACATCAGTACTTAAAGACACTCATGATGTACAAATAATTCTATTTGTACGGAATTTTAGGTATCGAAAGTTATCCCCCCAACGTACGCGGCCCCGCTTAAATATAAAAATTCTCAAATGTGGTCCCTACCTCCTATTGTAAGTAGTAGGTAAAAAATTATATAAAAAAATTATGTACATATAGTATTGTCCAAACGAAAAACTGACTTAAAATATCTTTTTAATGGCATTACAATGAGAAAATTGCATACTTGTTATTTATCTTAAATATTGTACTTCAAATAAAAAAGTTAGTCCTCAATTTTTTTTTTTACTTATAATTACACAGTTAATCTTTCGTAATGAATTTAATCCCTCCTTTCAAAAGCAGGCTGTCATCAATTTCATAAAGCTTTACTGTTCAAATATAGAATTTTAGATTGAAACAAAATTTCGACGTGTCTTCAAGAAAGAAAATCCAATCTCATCCTGTCCTGGCAAAACTATTTTGACTAGCAACTAATTCATAAAAACAAACAATTTTTTTGGTCATTTTGAGATAAAAAGGGCTCATTTTTAACATTTTCAATCTTGACCTTATTCTGGCATTTGTTTGGCACAATTTACTGAAAAAATATTTTTTTTCTAACTCATTTTCTAACATACATTTTGCCAATAAAATAATTTTTCACACGGACCCATAACTCTTCTCTACTTTTAATTGTACATTATTAAAAAGTCAATTTTTACTTCAAAAAATGTCTCCTAAAGAATTGTCTCTCTATGTTGTATCAGTAAATGAAATGTATATAAATGGACATAATGAAACATTGTTCATAAAAATGAAACCACTAATTATTATTATTTTTTTTTTTATAAGAATTGTCTCTCTAAGCTTGTTAGTAAATTTAAGTTTCAGCATATTATGTGCTTAATATATATGTGATTATCTTTTGAATATTCCATATCCAAAGTGATTTTGTGTTAATTTATGCCATTGGAAGTACATAGATGCATTTGCTTCAATGATTATTGAGATGTTAGCATTTTGAACTTATTATTATGATGCATGCATGTAATGAGTTGTTGTGCCTATTTTATGCATTTATTCAACCATGCATTTCTAAAGTTATGTTATTGTGACCTTGGTGCTTTTTAGCATAATTTTCAATGGCTTGGTGTACAACATTGTTCTATGGGACGGACCCTAAAGAAACTAAGAGAAAGAAATTTGGGCATGAATGTCGATTTAAATGTTATTGAAGTTATCTTTTCTTACATGCAATACATTCATCGTGATTTACTCAATATTGGACGTCATTGTTCATAATCTTTTTATAAAAAAAGGTTAAACCCTAACCTTAAGAGTCCCCCACCACTCCTGCCCTGGAGCATCGTGAGGGAGGTAAATCGCAGGTTATGCCTCCAAGGGTACAGGGTGGAAGGCTGCTTAGATACTTGCACTTACCCAAGAGCCAAATCCATATTTCAGGATTCGAACCCTTGACGCAGCAGTCTCAAGCAAAGCTGAATTTCTCCACCCTCCCCTTTTTATCACTTGAAGATGTGCCCTGGGGGCTTCATAATCTTTTTATAACTCTTGTAGGTGATGGAGTGAAGTTTTTTGAGCTCGTGGGGTTCTAGGAGGAAGAGATCGGTCAATGCAGCCGAATATCATTGGGTTACCCAAAAATACTTTAGGTTTTACTTTCTAATCGGTCCTATTATTTGGATATGTGAAGACCGACAAAATGATTGAAATATACCGTGCTCATTCCATGGTTTACAAAGGAAACAGAATGTAGTACTTTATTTTCTTTGAAGATCAGTTGGTTTTGTTTTGCCTCATCTAGATTTCATCTTCACAAGCTAGCTCAAGGATTCTTAAACCCTCTTTTCACTACCAAAAAATAGCACTCCAGGACCATAAATATTGGTTGCTGAAGGACAAATGTTGAGCGACCAAAAAATGGTGGTTGCTAATTTGCCATCGCTAAAGATCATTAGCGACCATACAGTATTGTTCGGTAACTATAATCAGCGACCACTCTTTGGTCTTGGTTGGGCTGCTTCTTAGGACCAAATATTGGTTGTTAAAGGTTAACCATCAGCGACCAAATGAATTGTACGAATGTGCTGCAAGTTAATCGACCAAGTTACAATTGGTCTTCAAATCTTAGCATTCAGCAACCAACAAATAATCGGTAAAACGTCTTAAATAGTGATTGAGGTTCAATCCATGCACAGTATTACCTTTCGTGGACTAATCTTTGGTTGATGAACATTTATACCTTTCATCGATCAATCATTTGTTACCAAATGTACCACTTTGACTATCAAATATTAATTATCAACAACCAAAATCTTGGTCACTGACTATCAAACAAAAAAATTATTATTTTTCATCAACCAAAATTTGGTTACAGAAAGATATACTACCAATATTTGGTAGCTAAATATTGTATGTGTCAATAAAATGCTATTAGCAACCAATATTTTTATGTCCCTCCTAATATTTTGGCCAATGTTTCAATTATACGTCCAACAACCATAAAGTTGAAATAAAAACATCGAAAATAGGAACAATAAGAAAATTAGAAAGAAGTATATCTCTACAAAAGGAAAATTGTAACTGCACATATAACAATATTCAAAGTGTGTACACATCCACTTCCAATCCTCTTGTGAGTTAATAGTTGCTTACATTGTAGTGGATCTTTTCCATTCAGCATTAGTTTTTTGTATTTTTTATTACATGCACTTCTATGATCTTTATGTTGGGAACAGAGAGTCAAGTATGGTACAAAATAAAGTATATGATCGTATATAGAAAATAAGATTAAAAGCAAGAAGAGATTGATAGAGGAATCGAGTAATTTTATTAATTGACAACCAATGGAGAAAAAAAATACAATTTCGACAATATATAAATTGGAAGAAGAGTCAAATATCTATAGGGACAATCCACACCCTACAAGCAGATTTGTGAATGAAATAGAATGTACAAACGTTTCCTTATCTTGATATCTTTAAATCCAATACAAATTGCAACTCCTAATAAAGCTTTCAAATAGAATTTCAACTAGAATTTGCCAATAGATTTCGAATATGATTCCAAAAGCATTCCAAATAGAATTCTTTTTAATGTAGACTTTAATTAGAACTCTCAATTATCTTCATCAAAGAATTCGAGTTACACCCAAAGTCTAAAAATCTCCACTTTGATATGAATTTCGATGCAACGAACAAAGCTCCAATCTAGAAAAATAAGTCCGATTGCAGGGAAATGGACTGAACTCTTCAACTAGAATAAAACTTATCCACCTTACGAAAAATTACTCTCCCTCTTCACAGTTTCCACAAAAAATACCAGAACCCAAACACCGGGTTCCCAAAATTTCTACAAGGAATTTAAGATTTACCAAACATGGTCGAAACACATCCTGTAACAGAATCAACTCTCAATACTTTCATCGAAGGCCCCTTCCTAGTCTCAACACCTTCAAAAATGCCAAAAGCGCAACTAAATCAGCATCCTCGTACTTATCTCCAATAGGTCTATCTCTAACGGTTGAATACGATGAAACCATGGACAATGGTAGCAAAGTGAAGTTACTCAGATCCTCTAAACTTGATTCAGTAGTATTGTTCAATATGGACCCAGAATCAAATTCTAAAGGTACAGTACCAAACAAAATCTCCACCATGGTACTAAACCTGTGACGAATTTTCTTTACTAATTCTACTTGACCTTACAAGATGTATAATTGGGATCTCTTCTACCCATCCAATACAACATGAACACCCTTCCGGACCCTCAAGACTCCACCTGCCCCAGAGAACGTGTACCATTTCGAATCAAGAGTACTCAATGAAATGAGATTCTTCTTCAAATCTATAATATGTCGAACATGATCGGGTGTTCTACATGTTCCATCTACCAACTTAAATATGACTCTACCGATACCAGCTACTCAACAAAGTTCGCTCTTACCCATGACAAAGACACCTTGCATCACCATTTCATATGTTTCAATTCCAATTAAGGAATGTACAAGCTGAGTCTAAAATCCACTCTTATTGATTCTACATCAGAAATCATCAAGACATTTCTATCACTCAAATTGTCCTCAACTATGTAGGTCTCGTTTAAAGTGTCTGATTACTTCCTATGATTTGCAATTGAAGTACCTTTATTTTATAATTTTTTGCAATCTTTCTTAATGTGTCATTTCTTCTTGCAATAATAACAAACATGATTGCTGAAACTCGGCCTTGACTTATCCCTTCGTCGATCACAATAAATCACAAGACCTTCTTCAACTTTGGACTCAAATCCAACTAGATGTTTCATCTTTTCCTTTGAGACCAGGACATCATATACGACTTCTATGAGGAGATCATCATGACTATACAAAATTATGCCCCTTGAACGATGGGGGCAGAGAATACAACAAGATTAAGGACAAATCTTTTTCATCATATTTTACGTCTAATGTATCTAAATCAACGACGATCTCCTTGAACACAGCTAAATGATCTTCCAAAGATCTGTCATCTGCCATGAAATGAGAAAGCAACCTCTGCTTTAGATGCAAATTGCTCGTTAGACTTTTAGCCATGCACAATTGCTCCAGCGTCAACCACAACGTAGTTGTTGTGTTCTCCTTCAAAACGTCCTAAATAATATTGTTAGAGCGATGAAGATGAATCTGTAAAAGTGCCTTCCAATAATTCTGTTGTTTCTCTTCCATTGGCCAAGTTGGGAGCATTTTATCAAATCCTAAAAACGCGCATCATCCAAATTCATCTGAACCAATACAGCTCGCATCTTCACTTGCCACAACAAAAATCTTGTATTACGATTCAAAAGCGAAATTTCATACTTCATGATTGTCATCGATAGCAGAAAACCTCAAACAAAATCACAATCAATAGCTCAAATACCACTTTTTGGGAACGGAGAGGCAAGTATAACATAATATGAAGTATATGATCGCGCACTAAAAACAAGTTTAAAAACAAGAAGAGACTTGCAGAGAAGTTGAGCAATTTTATTAATTGATAACCAATGGAGAGAAAAATACAATTTCAACAATACATAAACTGGAAGAAGACTCAAATATATATAGGGATAATCCAAGCCCTAGAAGCTGAGTTCTAGATGAAATAAAATGTGCAAAAGCTTCCTTATCATGGTTTCTTTAAATCCAACACAAATTTCAACTCCAAATATGGGTTCCAAATAAAATTTCAACTAGAATTTACAAAAAGATTTCGAATAAAATTCCAAAAACATTTCAAATAAAATTTTTCTTAATGTGCACTTTAATTAGAACCCTCAATTACACCCAAATTCTAACACTTTATACTTTTCACAACAATATCTTTCAACAATTTTAACCATCCGACAATCATTTAAATCAGCATCAAATTTTTCCCGAACATGGAGAAAACAAAAAACATGTTAGTGAACATATTATTAAAACATAAGTTACTTGTAGCAGGGCTGGATGCAGAAATTTTTAGTTAGGGAGGCACAATCAAATTCTATACAAATCGAATACTTTGTTATTGATTTTTGAATAATTTATATTCGATTCGAGAAAATGCCAATTTATATTTAAAAAACATTTCTTGATTAATATTTTGCTCATAATTTCATCCATTTGATTCCGAACAATTATTTATATTTTGCTCATCACAAAAAAATTCATATTTATGCTTAAAAAATTTACAGTGTATTTAATACATTAATCAATTCAAGTCATCGAAAAAAAAAACATATGACCAATATTCAATCAAATAAATAAAATTTGTTAAATATAAGTTAAATTGGATATAATCAGTTCAAATATATTCTATGTACACAAATAAGATAGGAAAAAATGCAAATTTAAATTCTAATTAATTGAAAATTTGATTGAAAATAGAATTTCAATTATTTGTGGAAAGATATCAATTGGTAGAACCGTTGATAAAAGAAAGAGATGTTGTGTATGAATCATTCACATATTCTTCTGAATTATATGTACCTGGGGGATTAATTTGAAAAACTAGTAGGGGTATGCAAGAACAAACCATTTTTATTGGAAACATTCCTCTAATGAATTCCTTGGGAACTTCTATAGTAAATGGAATATATATAGAATTGTGATCAATCAAATATTGCAAAGCCCCGGTATTTATTACCGATAAGAATTAGACCATAACTGAATTTCGGTCCATACCGACACCATAATAAGATGTTATAATTTGTTAAAAAAAAAAAAATTAAATAAATTTTTTAAAATTAAAAGAGTTAAACCCCCCTTGGGTCTGCCACTGTGTAGCCATGCATCAAAAAAATATATATATCAAAAATATGTCCTAATAAGTGGATGGAATGAGCTTTGTATTGCGGGATTATATTTCGAATTACCGTACCTTAGTTTGTTATCAACACATAATAAGGTTCCTCGGATAGAAAACAATACCAGTGCCTACATGCAATATTCCCATTAGTTCAAGTTTCTTCTATTACTGAAAATGACAAAAAGAAGCTACAGACGAGTAGAAGACCTTTTACGACTAGTTCACCAATAAATAATTCAACTTTCGGGGTGTGTTTGATGTTAGTGCGGAAACGAAGTGTTGAAGAAAAACTTGAATTTTTATTGATAGTTTTTGAGTTGCTACAGCACATTCAATAATG